CTTTATTGTTGTCTAAGGACAATTCCCCCTACCACCCCTCGCTCCCTCCAAAAAAAGGGCTGAATTGCCTATGGTTAGAGCTTAGGGTTTGGGGTCGGGAAGACCTGAGTTCAGAGCCTCGCCCTACAGCTTCTCAGCTGTGGAATCTTAAGCAAACTATTTCTCTAACTTCAGTGTCCGTACCTGCAAGGATATGCTACGGACAGAACCTACTTCATTGGGTTGTTGTGAGAACTGGAAGGTGGAGATCCTACATAAAGTGGCACAATGGGAAGTGCCCACTATGTATCCATCAGCATTGAACTTCCCTGTATGTCACATGGCAGACCTAGGGCTTCCCTTTCTTCCTTCTGGTCAGAGCCGGCCTTCCCGCAGTAGTTCCCTTATTCCATTTGCTTAGCCAAGGTCAGGAGAGAGATACAGTCCGGATGAAAAATGCCTGTGCTCTCCACAGGATGGAGAAGCACTAGGTGTCCTTGCAAACTGAGTTCAAAAGGTCCTGGCTCCAAGAATTATTAATAAAAATGAGCTCACTATTTTGGGCACCCAGCTGGGTACATCTTCCAGCTCTTTGTTCAGAGCATCGTGTCCATGACACATGGGCTGCTTGAGGCGAATCACATTAATTCCCAAAGATGCTTTCACTCACCATGCTGTCCGCCCTCTGCTTACCTCGTGGCTTCTCTCAGGAGCACCCTTCCTGCCGCCCTATACCCTCCTCTCCGGGCCAAAAGCTACCCATCCTTCGGTTTGTCCTGCCTCTCTTATTTCATTTCTTTTCCTTTCTTGCCTTCTTTTGGCTTTATAGTCAAATTTCTCCCTCATTCAATTTTATTGATCTACTAGTTTAACATGCATATGTAATTTAGCCAAGTCAAAAATTGGTCAGTATTTTGTGCTCCTGCCAAAAAAATAAACATTTACTTTGATTACTCCTTACCGATTTGTTTGTTATTGTTTTCTAGTTCTTTTTTTTTTTCGAACCCCACAAATTAGACATTATAATTGTTTTATACCATCAATGCTTATTTTATTTATCTTCATGTTCACATGTTTCTTTGCTCACCCTTCCTACTTAAATCTTACAATTTTCTTCTGGGATTATTTTCTTTGTTCCTAAAGAAAATATTTAGAATGTCCTTAGAGGGTCTGTTCGTTGTAGACGTTCTCAATTTTTATCTGAAATTGCATCTGTTCAACCTCATCTTTGAAACATATTCAAGGTTGGCAGTTATTGTCTCTTAGCACTTGGAGATGTTCTTCCTCTGTCTTCTGGCTTCAGTTGTTGATGTTAAGAAGTTAGCTGCAAGGCTACTTCGTTCATCCATCTTCTCTAGTGATTAGCAGTTTTGCTACCATACATTTTCGGTGTAGATTTCTTTTTATTTATCTTATTATGCATGGTTTGGAGGAGTTTCCAGGATCTGAGGATTGTGTCTTTCATCAATTCTGGAAAGTTTCCATTTCCATCTGAAACGCTAATTAGACTGACCTATTCAAACCGTTGTTCCATCCTTCATGTCCCTTAACCTCTGTTTCATAGTTTCCATCTCTTTGTCTCTGTGCTGCATCCTGGGTAAGTTCTTCAGATCTGTTGTCCTGCTCACTACCTCTCTCTTCAGCTATGTTAATCTGCTGTTTACTCTGTCCCTTAAATTGCTAGTGTTTTTTAAAAAAGATTTTATTGAGGGAACTGGGGAAGGGGAACAGTGTTGGGAAATTGGGGAAGGGGAACAGCCAAGTTGTTGTCCTTCAATCTTAGTTGTGGAGGGCGCAGCTAGCTCAGCTCCAAGTCCAGTTGCCATCCGGTTGCCCGTCAGCAGTTTGTGGCCTCTCAGCTCAAGGTGCTGTGTTCAATCTTAGTTGTGGTGGGCATAGCCCACCATCCCATGCGGGAGTCGAACCAGCAACCTTGTTGTTAGGAATACGTGCTCTCACCGGCTGAGCCACCTTGCCAGCTCAGCTGCAGCTCAGCTCAGATGCAGCTCACCGGCCCATGTGGGAATGGAACCTGCAACCCTGTTGCTCAGAGCTCATACTCTTACCAACTGAGCCACTTGGCCAGCCCTAGATTGCTAGTTTTGAAGATTATACTTTTCATTGATCGAAGTACTGCTTTATTTTATTTTTTTCAAATCTCCCTGGTCGTTTAAAATAGTCTCATTCCTTACCTATATCTTTGATTACTAGCTTTTATTTCTTTAAGCCTCTGAAACATCCTTAGATTACATGTACCATACTTCCATCTAAAGCTTTTGAAGGTCTGAATCTATTGTTTACTGCTTTGTGCAATTCTCACTTAAAATGACTTGTGATGGGTAATTTTATGTGTCTACTAGACTGGGCGATAGGATGCCAAGATATTTGGTCTAAAATTATTCTGGGTGTGTCTGTGAGGGTATTTCTGGATGAGATTCACATTTGATTGGTAGACTGAGTAAAGCAGATTTCCCTCCCCAATGTGGATGGGCCTTGCCCAGTCTATTCAAGGTATGGGTTTTATTTTGCTGTTCACTTTGCTCAGGTTCTAGGTTATGTCCCTTTAAACTGAAGTTCTTGGCTACCTGGGATCACAGGTACCTCAGGGCAACCTCTGCTTCTGCTAACAGTTATCTCTTTGGATATGTGCTCTTGTCATTTTTGACCTCTGATAATTATCCTTAATTTATTGCCACCTCAGCTATGCATTTCTAAATAGGTTTTTAAATATTTTTATCCAGTCTGTGTGTGTGTGTCTGTGTGTGTGTGTGTGTGTGTGTGTTTGTTTGTTTCAGGAGAACTTTTCAATATTTGCTGTCTACCATATTGTGAACTGCATGCTCCTTGAGGGCAGGTATGTGGTTCCCTCTCTTCACCTTCCACAGAATCCATTCCAGAGTTTCCCACTCGGGAGTCTCTCTGTCAGTTGAATGAAATTGCCACCAGAGGCTGGAGGTACCCATCCACGACCTGTGCTATCAGCGACCTTCCACAAGAGGGCAGTCTCAGCTGGTGCCAGAGCCATTCTACCCCGCAGGGATGGGCGGGGTTTGCGGTGGGCGGAGCCTGGCTCCCTGAGACTCCCAAACCTGCAAGCAACATCAAATGCCTCCTCCGGAAGGGACCCAACAGAGGAAATCTTCCCCATTCTACTGGTGGGAAAATGAAGACAAGCAAAGATGAGGGAAGTGTCAGGCCTGGACAGGTGAATCTGAGACGGGGTCATGCAGGAAAGGGCCAGGATGGAACCAGTCTCCTCTGGACTCAACTTCTTCAAGGGTTCTGCTTGGACAACCAAATTAAGTTATGTTTCTTTGTTCACTCAGCATCTACTGTCGGCCCCACAGGAAGTGGTGAATTAAATACTCTTGGACTTTGCCTCTTTCTCAGTGTCCATTGCAGCCCAGCTGGACAGCTCAGTGTTTCCCAACCAGCCCTGGGCTTCCTGACACCCCTTCGCTCCTGCTGCTGCTTCTGGCCCTGAGGCCTCTCCACCATCGCTGCCTGTTGAAACCCTGCTTATCCTTCTGGGCCCAGCTCCCATGCCTGACTCCTGCAAAGGAATGCATACCTAGCCTGGGCCCCGGTATGGGGTGGCGGAGCCCTGTATCTCCTGTGCCATCTCAGCGGACAGCTCCAGCCTGCAAAATAAGTGGGGGACAAGCCATCTCTCAGGCCCTTCCTGATTTACGATTCTGTGAGACACAACATAGGCGGCTCCCTCTCCAAAGTCCAAGACCACGCCCCCTTCTTCTCAGCTATCAATGCACCCAAGGACAAGGTTACCCTTGGGATTTAATCCCATGAAAGCTGGATTCCATGGAATAAGACAGTGGGTCCCTTGTTCAGTCTTCCAATATGTATTGCTTGAACATCTACTATGTGTCAGGTCTCCAGAAAAGAGGCACGTCCTCTCCACTTCCCTTTTCCCTAGAGTGTGTGTGTGTGTGTGTGTGTGTGTGTGTGTGTGTGTGTGTTTGTTTGTGTCTCACTCTGTGACTCTTGGGGTTCAGCCAGGTTTGGGGGGCTCACAGCAGAGGCAGTTGGGCTCTCCCTCCCAGCCCCTATAATACCAGCTTGGCTTCCTGAAGACCAAAACCACAAAGTAGAGCACAGAGGCGTAAGAGACACTCACAAGCTGGGTTTGGCCGCATGCGTGCAACAGTGCTTTCTCTTGCAGAGAGGAAGATACAAACAGGAACAGCGAAGGGCAGAGTGAGAGTGAGGGGCGCTCAGCGGCCATGTCCACTTCCTGGCCCTAGGATGGTGCTTCCCACTGGCAGACACACATAGCAGTCAGGGATGGAACCAGACATGTGGTCCTTCTTCATAATCGCTGGATTGCTGATGGCGGCCCTTTCAGGTAACCCCCTTTTCCCACTTCCTGTCACTCCTGCTGGAAGACCTGGGTCCTGGCCTCTTGGTCTCCTTTCTGGTTGTTTTCTCACCTTTCTGGAGCATTTTAGCCAAGATTGTACTCTGGTACTAGGAAAGCCCCAGCTGTGCCAACAGCAGCTGGGGCCCAGAGAGGGTACAGGAACCCCCTAGAGGGTCTTGGGCTATGCCTGGACACTGCTAAGAGGGTTCCTGTGGCTGAGATCATGTGTGCAGCACACATGCTGCCATACCAACGGGCTCGCCAGGGTCTGAGGAGGGAAATGCCTCCCACTCATAGCCTCCGGAACGCCTCCATTCCCTATTTCTTGCCAGCTCTCAAGAAGGAAGAGTCCACCTTCTAAAGAGATAGGACCACTGGTGATTGTATTTTCAACCCCAAGACTGAAGCTCTGGGCTCTCCAGGCTTGTACCACTCACAGTAGAGCAGCCCTGAAACAGACTCTGGAAGCCAAGGAGAGTTGAAGACAGCTGGTCGCTGGTGGCTCTGGCACAACCATTTGGGGTAGTTTAGGGCACAAACGAACAGGAAGGTTCTTGAGGGCCACCTCCCCCATTATGTGTTCTCCTGGGTGCCAAGGCACCCTCATGACCTGGGCCGGGGCATCAGGTAGCCAGGAGGTTTGGGCACTGGGCTACGCTCATCAGATGCTGTTGACCCCTGCCGAGGACGGCGTCCAAACTGTCAGGAACTGGGCAGTAACCCAGAGATGCAAGAGATCTTGCCATGGTTGGACCCTTACCCTTGGAGGTTGGGGAGACT